AGAAAACCCAAAGGATGGGGCGCCTGGGTGGCTCAGTCGTTAAGCATCTGCCTTCGGCTCAGGTCATGATCCCAGGGTCCTGGGATCGAGCCCCGCATCCGGCTCCCTGCTCTGCGGGAAGCCTGCTTCTCCCTCTCCCATTCCCCCTGCTTGTATTCCCTCTCTCGCTGTGTCTCTCAAATAAATAAATAAAATCTTTAAAAAAAAAAAAAAAGAAAAAGAAAATCCAAAGGACTCCACCAAAAAATTGCTAGAACTGATAATATGAATTCAGTAAAGTTGCAGGATACAAAATCAACATACAGAAATCTGGTGCATTTCTATACACCAATAATGAAGCAGAAGAAAGAGAAGTTAAGGAATCGATCCCATTTGCAATTGCACCAAAAACCATAACATACCTAGGAATAAAGTTAACCAAAGAGGTAAAAGATCTGTACTCTGAAAACCATAAAACACTGATGAAAGAAAGTGAAGATGACACAAAGAAATGGATAACATTCCATGCTCATGGATCAGAAGAACAAATATTGTTAAAATGTCTGCACTACCCAAAGCAATCTACACATTTAATGCAATCCCTATCAAAATACCACCAGCTTTTTCCACAGAGCTGAACAAACAGTCCTAAAATTTGTATGGAACCACAAAAGACCCTAAACAGCCAAAACAATCTTGAAAAAGCAAAGCTGGAGGCATCACTTCAAGTTACATTACATAGCTGTGTAGTGATCAAGACAGTAGAGTACTGGCACAAAAACATACACACAGATCAGTGGAACAGAATAAAAATCCCAGAAATGAACCCACAACTATATGGCTAACTAATCTTTGACGAAGCAGGAAAGACTATCCAGTGGAAAAAAGACAGTCTCTTCAACAAATGGTGGTGGGAAAACTGGACAGCTACATGCAAAAGAATGAAACTAAAGTACTTTCTTATACCATACACAAAAATAAATTCAAAATGGATGAAGTGGATGTGAGACAGGAAACCATCAAAATCTTAGAGGAGAACATAGGCAGTAACCTCCTGGAATCGGCCATAGAAACTTCTTAATAGATACATCTGCTGAGGCAAGGGAAACAAAAGCAAAAAAACCTGTTGGGACTTCATCAAAAACTCCTGCGCAGCAAAGGAAACAATCAACAAAACTACAAGGCATCCTTCAGATTGGGAGAAGATAATTTGCCAATGATGTATCTGACAAAGGGTTAGTATCCAGAATCTATAAAGAACTTAAAAAATTCAACACCCAAAAACAAATAATCTAGTTTAAAAATGGGCAGAAGATACGAATAGACATTTTTCCAAAGAAGACATATGGATAGTTAACAGACATATGAAAAGATGCTCAACATCACTCATCATCAGGGAAATACAAATCAAAACTACAGTGAGATATCACCTCACGCCTGTCAGAATGGCTGTAGTTAACACTGGAAACAACAGATGTTGATGAGGATGCAGAAAAGGGGGAACCCTTTTGCAAAGCTAGCGGGAATGCAAACTGGTACAGACACCCTGGAAAACAGTGTGGAGGTTCTTCAGAAAGTTAAAAAAAGAACTGCCCTACAATCTAGCAGTTGTACTACTAGGTATTTACCCAAATGATACAAAAATACTGATTTGAAGGGGCACATGCACCCCGATGTGTATAGCAACATTATCAACAACAGCCAAATAATGGAAAGAGCCGAAATGTCCATCGACTGATGAATGGATAAAGACGATGTGGTATATATTACACACACACAATGGAATACTACTTAGCCATAAAAAAGAATGAAATCTTGCCATTTGCAACGATATAGATGGAGCTAGAGAGTATTATGCTATGCAAAATAAGTCAGAGAAAGTCAAATACCATATGATTTCACTCATGTGGAATTTAAGAAACAAACAGATGAAATAGGGGAAAATTAAAAAAAAAAGAGAAGCAAGCCAGAAAACAGACTCTTAACTATAGAGAACAAACTGACGGTTGCTAGAGGCAAGGTGGGCAGGGGATGGGGTAAATGGCTGATGGGGATTAAGGAGGGCACTTGTGATGAGCACTGGGTGTTGTATCTAAGTGATGAATCACTGAATTCTACACCTGAAACTAATATTACATTATGTTAACTAACTAGAATTTAAATAAAAACTTAAAGAAATACAGTATAGTACTGTAAATGTATTTTCCTCATGATCTGGTTAATAACCATTTTCTTTTCTCTAATGGGATTGTAAGAATACAGTGTATAATAGCTATAACATACAAAATATGTATTAATTGACTGTCTTTTTTGCTATTCATAAGGCTTCTGGTGAACAGTAGGCTATTAATAGTTAAGTTTTCGGGGAATCAAAAGTTACATGTGGATTTTCAGCTGCCTAGGAGTCAGCATTCCTAAGCCCTGAGTTGTTCAAAGGTCAACCATATTGTGAAAGGATCACCATAATAACTCTAGGTAACATCCAGGGAATAATCTTTGACAAATGGTGCTGAAACAACTGAATGTCTATATTTTAAAACAAAAACAAAAAAACCCTTGCGGCACCTGGGTGGCTCAGTCAGCTAAGCGCCTGCCTTCAGCTCAGGTCATGATCTCAGGGTCTTAGGATCAAGACCCATGTCGGGGGCCTCCCCACTCAGTGGGGAGTCTCCTTCTCCCTCTTCCTCTCCCTCTGCCCCTAATCCCACTCGTGCTCACTCTCTCTCTCTCAAATAAATAAAATCTTAAAAAAAAAACAAACCCTTGATTGTGACGTTACACTCTGTACAAAAATTAACTCTAAATAAATCGCAGATGTGCAGGTAAAAACTAAACTTCTCTGGAAACTTTGGGTTTGCAACCTTTAGGTAAACATTAGGTAATTAGGTAAACATTCAATGGATTGGACACAAAAAGCATGAAGCCTGAAGGAAAAAAATTGATACTGGACTTCATCAAAACTTAAGACTTTTACTTTTTGAAAGGTACCACTAAGAAAATGAAAAGGCAAGCCACAGAGTAAGAGAAATTATTTGCAGCACACATATCTGACAAAGGATTGTATCTAGAATTTTTATCACACAATAAGGTTGAAAACTCATATATTCATATATATGCAGACATAGTATATACATCTGTATGAATATTCATACACATAACACATATATATGAATGAATGAATAGATACATATAGCAAGGGATTTGAACAGACATTTCCCAAGAGATGATGTGCAAATAATCAATAAGCATGTGAAATGATGCTCAAAATGGCTACATTGGAGAAATGCACAGTGTTCTATCACTATGTACCTACTCGAATAGCTAAAATAAAAGAGACTGACAACACCAAGTGCGGGTGAGGAGTGGACGTGCTGGTACTCTCATACACTGCTGCTGGGAGTATAAAATGGCATAACCACTTTGGAAAATAGTTTGGTCATTTCTTATGCAGTTAGGCATGCACTTACCATACAATCCAGCAGTTAATTCCACTCTTAGGTATTTATTTACTCAAGAGAAATGAAACCATGTGTCTTCAAAAAGTCTTGCACGTGAATGTTCATAGCAATTTTATAATAGACAAATACTGGAAATAACCTAAATGCCTGGCAGTTTGGGTGGATAAATAAATTGTGGTCTATTTATACAATGGAATAGTACTCATCTGTGAAAAGGAATGAACTGTTAATGCACACAAGAATTTAGAATACTCTCAAACCATTTTACTGAGTAAGAGCAGCCATACACAAAAGTGAACATATTATACAGTTCCATTCATGTAAAATTCAAGAATAAGCAGCTAGTGAGAGAAATTAGATGACTGGTTGCCCTGGACCAAGGGTGAGGGTAGGGGATTGACTTCTGAGGGGGAACTTTATTTTATTGTATATAAATTATACCTCAATAAAGTTGATTTTTAAAAAGATAATAAATACTATCAGCAACTACTTGCCAACAGTTTGGAAAACTTAAACTGGAAATTTTTTTTAAAATAACTTAATAGAACTGACTCAAGAAGAAGTAAAAAGCTTAAAAGTTTGACTAATACTAAAACTATTAAGTAAATTGAAGCAATGATTAAACATCTTCCTACAAAAAAATTCAGAGCCAGATAGTTTTATAGGCATGTTATACCAAGCTTTCAAACAACAGGTCATCCCAGTTTATACAAATTCTTCCAGGCAGTGAGACAAGAGGAAGTACTCTCCAGCTCATTCTGAGAGGTCAGCATAACCTTGATAAATCCAGACAAAGACATTACAAAAAAGGAAATCATAAGTTTATTTCACTCATGAATACAGCTGTAGAAGTTCTAAACTCATTACTAAACCAACTTCAACTGTGTCTATAAAAGACAATACTTCACCTCCAAGTTTGGCTGCTTCTGGGCATGCAAGGGTAATATAATTTGAGGAAATCCATAGAAGTAATTCACTACAGTAATAGATTAAAAGATTTTAAAAATGTGGTTACTTGAATGAATTCAATAAATGCATTTGATAAGTGTATGTGATTTTTCCAGTTAAATTTTTTTTTTCATTTTGATTAAGGGAATATTGTTAGCAAGATTGAGAAAGTTATATAATAAGAAACTGAGAACTTAACTATTTTGATAAATGACCCAGAGACACTAATGGAGAATCTGTTACTGTAGGTGGGAGGTCATAGGACCATGGCACTGGATCATTCTTGGTGAGGCCATTCACCAGATGTTTGTGATCAAGGATGTTACCTATCCCCTTTGTGTCTGTTTTCTCCATAAGATGGGCATGATAACACCTCCCACGAACAAGGCTTAAAGAATTAACATATGTGAAGCGCTTAGCACTGCACTGACACTTGCTTTTCAAATTATATCTTTTATATTATATATTAGTGTTACAATACATATATTCTATATATTTTCTTTAAGGCCACCCGACTCTTAGCCAAAGGCTAAGTTAATGACTGTAGCCTTTGATAAAAGTGCTTTCCCTTTCAGATTACAAATTGACACCTTTTTGTCTATGTGTGTCTCAAAGGTGAGTGATTTCACGTGGAGCCATGATGGGACTCAAGCACTTATTTCATATCGAGATGGGTTTGTCCTGGTTGGTTCTGTCAGCGGACAAAGACACTGGTCATCTGAGATCAACTTGGAAAGTCAAATCACATGTGGCATATGGACTCCTGATGACCAACAGGTAAAGCCTCTTAAATATGGGTGTGTAATGTTAAAACCGTGTGAGGTGAGGAGGAAGTGAATTGCATACAGTCACACACGGAAGGGGTAGGGATGGGGGAAGCTGGCTCAGAAGCGCCTTGCATCACAAAAGTGAAGAACAATGAATATGTCCAGGTGAAAATTAAAAACTAAGTGAACCATAGATTGGAGAAATAATATTTCCCATCAATATGGTAAACATTGAGTTAACATTTTAATTATAGAAAATATTCTTACAAATACACTTTTAAATCTATATAAATAGTTGGTAAATGGATAATGGACATAATGATTCACCAAGGAAGTTCAACTAGTCAGTATTCATATGGTGGAAAAGTGTGCATTTTTAGGAGAAAAATGCAAAATAACGTAGTGAGGATATAGTTTCACTTATTAGCAAAAAATAATAAAATGATACAGGTGATATACTGGTTAATGATAAGAGTTCAATCAAAGGATTCTTCTTCATTGCTGGTAATAATGTGTACTAGACCTTTGGGGAAGCAATTTGGGCGGAATATGTCAAAAGTCTTAAAAAATTGTTGTCCACTTTGACCTGGTAATATACTTCAGGAATTTATCTAAAAGAAACTAAAGGGGAGAAAATAAAAGTTATCGTCATTAAAGCATTATTTATGATAGTAAAAATTCAGCAACAGCCTACTTGTCTAAAAATAGAATGATTAAGTGAACTATGGTATTACCACTGAGAGGATTATATAAGAAGTAGTTCAGAAAATTGTGGGTTCTGGTTATGAAGACAATCTGAAAGAGCTCTTATGATATAATGTTGAGGGAAAGAAAATCAGGATATGAAATGGTGTAGGTGGTATGATTACCATGTCATAAAACAACCAAAGGAAACCCATCCACATGCTAGAAAGACCTGGAAGGAGACAAAATGCCACAGGTAGGTTGTTTTACAGTGAAGAGCTTTTGGGTCATTCTCTAAAACCCAATTTTAAAATTTTCTTTAATGTATCTGTTTTACTTTCATGATAAAATAATATATAACCTAATAAAGTTATATACTGATAATTCATTTTTTAAATAAAAAGATTGGCCTGGTAAAACCTTTGTAAATATGAAGCTTATGTTTTCCAAGCACAACAAAATCCAGAAAATGCCAGGACATTTCGTAGCAGAGATTTTAGTTTAATATTGGTAAAAGCAAGCAGTATAATAAGGAATCATAACTTTCATTTTTGAATCTTTTTTCTTTTCATTCTTTTTTTTTTTTTTTTTTACTGAATTGCCTTCCACTAATCACTAAACATTCCATGTTTCCATTTTTTTTTCCGAGTAAAAGTGGTCAATATTCTTTCTCTTTCTTCTCAAAATTACTATTATGAGAGCTACAAAGCAGCAGTTGCAACTCCAAGTTTCTTCCATGGCTCTGAGGCTCCTAAGTATCCAGTAGCATATGCGTGTAACTCAAAGAAGCACTTGCATTTACTGTGACGTGTGTTTGCAGGTGTTTACTGCCCCTAGAGTCTGCTCTGAGAAGTCGGTGCAGCCCATTCAGTGGCCTTGCCCAGACACCTCTCCCTGCACGTTTCCTCCTCTGTGATGGGGGGGTGTGAATTATTTCCTGCCTGTTTCCCCGGGGCTTTTGTAATGATCAGATGAGTGAACAGATGTGAAAGCACTTACAAATGTGGAAGTGGAAGTCTTGGCTTCACATTCTTCCCTTGCCTCGAGGGATGGAACGTGGGAGGCTCATGTCCCAATCCCCTGATGAGCTCTGCCTGCCTGTGTCCCCAGCAGACAGCATACTTGGCGTGTGACAGGCACAGGACCCAGACACGCCAGGGGCACAGTGGGCAAGACTTGGCACCTGCCTTTGAGGTGCTGGGGCCCCCAAACATCCTGTGCTGCGTCCCGGCAAAGTGGCTGGGATAGCAGACAGCATGGTGTCGTGGGCATGACGGAGAGCAGGTGGGCTGCAGCTTTAAAGCCAGGAGGAGGCACTTGGACTTGGCTCTGTAGACCCGTCTGCAGGATCAGAGAGTGGCTTCGGCTGGTGGTTGGTCTCCTGGCCCACAACCTCTGTCTGAAAAACTGCTTTTACTGGGTCCGTATTTGGAGCTAACAGGTAGGATGTCATTGAAGGAAAGCGCTGCACTCACTGCCTTTTCGAAAGGTTGCAGACCCCCGAAGCAATGAGGATCCTTACAGGATACTCCCGTCAGTCGTATTTGAACCGAGACATGGAAAAATAACATTCCTTCCTCCTTGTCTGTCACTCTTTCATATCTCTTGCTTGGTTTGAAAATTATTAATGAGAAAAGAGTATGAAGACAATTTGAAATGTAATGCCCTGAGCTCTTACCATTGGGAGCTGATGTTTAAAGCCGCGCCTCCTCCATCTCAGGCTGTCTCTTCCCTTGTCCCCGAGAACCTCCTGCACTTAACATAGAGTAAAATGTTGTCCACGATGAAGCCACCTCCTCCCCTCTTGAGATACTGCTGATCATAAGGGATTTTAGGTTATTTCTTAACTTTTTAAAATATAAGCAGTACTATTTTACAAGTGAGTTTGAGAGTCTAGGTATTTTCCTACTTGTCATATATTTTCTTCAGTTTAGAGTGGTGATCTCTATACCCTTTTGAGGATTGTAGACTACTTTAAATATCAGATGGAAATTGGGAACCCTTTTCCTGGAAAAATGTGCACACGTACATACGTGATTATATCTATCACTTTGCATAGAATGTTGGGAGCTCATAAGATTCCATGTTCCTCCCCCTTCAGATTCCTGATCTAGACAGTCTAGAGGCCACATTTGGGATCATTTTCCCCAACTTTCTGATGCATATATTCAAACATTACAGAAAAGTTGAAAGAATATACCTGCCTTAAATTCAGCAACTAATGTTTTCCTATATTTGTGCACTCTCTCCTCCTCTCGCCCTTCCTGCCTCCCTTTCTCCCTCTCTTTCTCTTCATACACGCACACATTTTTGCGGTACTGTTTTTGAAAATAAGTTGTAGACATTGTGCACATCACTATGAAATATTTGAACATGCTTGTCGTAAGAATACGATCATTCTTCCTACATTATCACCCCCAAGAAATTAGCAGTGATATTTTCTGGTATCCAGGCTACTTCATAGCTCCCTAATGGTTACAAAAGTGTGTGTTGTAAGCTTTTCTTTCTTTTTTTTGTTATTTGGAACTGGGATCCAAGTTATGTACAGCAATTGTTTGTTACATCTTCAGTCTAGAAAAATTTCCTTTTTTTTTTTTTTTTTAAATGACATTACCTTTCTCACAAGTTTAGTGTGGTTACTTTGTAGAATATTCTACAGTCTAGACTTGTACGATTGTTTACCCATAGTATCATTTAACTTCTGCTAGCCTCTGTATTTTCTGTCATCTGGAAGTTAGGTTGAGATTAGGTTTGGATTAAACAGGTTGGGTAAGGATAGTTAATAGGTGATACCCTATCATTCACACTGAGCCACATTAAAAGGCATATAATGTCTTGTTATCCCACTAGGAGGAGAGCTGAGTCTGATGGAACTCTTGTAAAAACAAAACTATTTTTCAAAACTATTGTTCTTAATTTCATCTATACTTATAGTGAATTTTTTCAAGCGATGTGTTTCATGTCAGGCTAAAATTTGTCTTCCATTAAATTGCAAGAAGGGAAGGTGATTCTACCTGGAGTTTATATAGTAGATAAAGACTGTCTTAGTCTCCTTGGGCTGCCATACAGAATTCTACAGGCTGGAGGGCTTAAACATCAGGCATTTATCTCTCACAGTTCTGGAGGATGGAAGCTCAAGATGAGGCCTTGGCAGGCTTGGTTGCTCTTGAAGCCTCTCTCCTTTTTTTTTTTTAAAGATTTTATTTATTTATTTGACAGAGAGAGACACAGCAAGAGAGGGAACACAGCAGGGGGAGTGGGAGAAGGAGAAGCAGGCTTCCCGCGGAGCAGGGAGCCCAATGCGGGGCTCGATCCCAGGACCCTGAGATCATGACCTGAGCCGAAGGCAGTCGCTTAATGAGCCACCCAGGCGCCCTGAAGCCTCTCTCCTTGACTGGCAGTTGGCCGCCATCTTCCTGTGTCCTCACATGGCCTTTCCTCTGGGTGCTCATCCCTGGTATCTCTTTCTCTTCATAAAAGGACACCAATTCTGTTGGTTTAGGGCCCTATCCTTATGACCTCATTTAACCTTCATTATCTCTTTATAGGCTCTATCTCCAAATCCTGCGACATTAGGGGTTAGGGCTACTGCATATGAATTTCGAGTGGGATACAAATGTTCAGTCCATAGCCTCATAAAAAATATGACTCTTCAACAAATATTTTGAAGAATAGAAAATTCACAGAAAAGACACTTATATAAATTTAGCTTGATAAACTTGAGATGTATTTATAAATAGAACAGTCTTTGTAGGGTTTGGAAGAAAAAGCAAATGATATAAATAGAAAATATCAGAGAAATAAATATAAATATGACTGGGGAAAAAATTTCTGTGGGTCCTAAGTTGATCAAGAGTAATGCAGCAGTGAAGCTTTTGCCATTTCGAGGAAGTACCCAGCATCACAGCACAGTGCGTAGGAGGAGAATGCTTAGTCCCCTCTACGTTCTCCAGGGGCGTGGGAGAACACCATGCCTCTTGACATAGGAAAGTGCTTTGAGACCTGTACATTTACACACATCCATCTAACCATTCTCTGAGTCTTAGGTGAACATCGGTTCACTTTGAGAGCCTTTGAACCAGAGAAGGTTGTTGAGAACCTGAGGTGCATTTCCATCAGGAGAGTTAGAGATGCCAGCACATGATCCTTGTGTGTAGACATGAGCATGACTCTCCTAGAAGAACAGCGAGTAGCTTTGGTGGATCTGTGTCCATGGAAGATGGGACAGAAGGAAAAAACCCCAGACTCACATGTAGGAATTCAGGTTAGATGAGGAAGAAGGAGCCCACCTAAACCAGTACGGGAAGAAAACTCTAGCTCCAGCCC